GGGCAGGAAACATGTGACCGAGTGCAGTTTGTATCTGAGGAGGAAATGATTGAGAGACTGATATATCCCTTTAGTCTCGTGCTTTAGCTCAAGTATTCAGTCGATCGGTTTCATTTCATTCTCTGTGAAAAAAGTTGGTGCTCTTTTTGTCTTTTTCCAAACAGTGCGGTTGAGCAGTGCTCAGAAGAGAAAAAAATGTCAGTTTGCAGAGATAAGACACCAGGTGTTGGAGCTTCACTGCAGGGGAGATGAAACAGAGTTGTGGCCTAAAAGAAAAGGGAAAAAAAAAAAAGAAAAAGAAAGAAAAATCAATTGTGGGGAAATGTCAGCGATGCAGCCAGAAGCTTCTGGGCGAAAGCAGTGAGCAGACGGATACAGGAAGTATCTGCCACAAGCCATTTTATCAATCTTCTCCAGTTTATTTTCTCTCTTACAGGTAGTTTCATTTGCTCCCGTCATGTCACACTCCCTCTATTTGATCTTACATCCTTTTAACATTTTTACTTGTGGCTTTACAAGCTTTTATTTTCTTTATATTGCTCGTGTAGTTTTTATGCTCTGCTTTCATCACATAATATTGTGCCATTGTGTAAACACTCAGCCCACGGTGACGAGACAGGGATGTAAATTCACTGTTAATGACATCTGAACATAAACAAACCACATCGCTGTTTCGTGACTTATTACTGTATTTGTCTGATGATTCAGTTGCTACAATGGAATTTTAAAGGCCATGGACTAAGTTTTGATTTCAAGTTCATCCTCAATAATTTTTCATAAGTGTTCACCACATTTGTTGTGCAGTGCATGAAGATGTTTTTTTTTTTTACCTCATTATCCAATGAAGAATGTTGTGTCTGGCCGATGGAGAGTTTCAGATTTTTATCAAAGACCCTCTAAGTTCATCTGAACGTTCTCCCACCACACACACAAACTTTTATTTCTACTATTCAACATGGCTCAAGTGTTTTTGGTCAATAGCCTTCTTAATTTTTAATCATAAACACTTCACACCAACTTCAGACATATTTCTCCACTGTTCCCGAGTCCAAATCATGTTTTATCACTTGATTAATTACGGTACGTGCAGCTTCGGCTGGTTTGTTTGAAGGCCCCGCCCACTGCTGGTATAAAATCAAATACATACAAATGCAGATTTTTTTTTTGTTGACATAAACAGATACAGATACATATCGTAACTCTGTGTTTCACCTCTAATGATGACTGATGCTGACTGGTCTGACCTGTAATGGGGGGGGCAGCCTGTATATGAAAGTTCTGAGGGTTTTTCATATATATGTAGGAATGTGTGTCTCCAAGAGGACGAAGTAAAACTACGGTGTTGCTTTGTTTCTCTGCTCTCACACAGTGAAGCTCTGACCAGAGAGAACAGGAACTCAAAGGGCACGAGGAGCATTGCATCACTCTTGTTGCCATGCAACTATCTAATTGGCCGCAGCCAACTAAACTGAAGCCTCAAAGGGCATTGTTTTTTGTTGTTAAGTGGAGCTGGACTGAAGAAAGTTGGTGATTGCGCTGCTTGTTGTTAAAGATGAGGATGAGTTGTGAGACTGTGATGTAATGTGGGGAGCGGCTAAAGAGCAGGAAAGGGTTCAACTAAGAGTCTGACAGAATGCATCCGAAACAAGGTCAATACTGCACAGCCGGCTGCAGGTTTGTGTGTGTCTGCGTATGTGTTACTTCACTCTAAAATCCTGGCGTCATGCTTCTGACTTCCTGCGTAGAATCTGGCATTTAGTTGTCAACAGCATGTTGTGTTTGTGTGTGTGTGTGTGTGTGTGTGTGTGTGTGTGTGTGTGTGTGTGTGTGTGTGTGTGTGTGTGTGTGTGTGTATTTGTTAGCAGAGGGTCGAGAAGAAGTGACATTTCATTCCTCGGCCGCAGAGGAAAAGAAAAAAAAAGAGAGAGAGAAGAAGAAGAGGAGTCTGTTGCCATGGCAACGGCAAGTCACTACACAGTGAAAAAATGTGATGGCGCACTGAAACAGCCTCAGGGATGGGGAAAGGGGAGCTGGTAAGAGGGAGGGAGTGGAGGGAGGGGGGTCTCTAAAGACGGGGTTAATTGACTGGACACACAAACAGAGACATACTGTACGTACACAGACACACACAGGATCACACAAATGCTTGTAGCCTCTTTCATTCACATTCATAAACTGCCTTGAGGGCCACTGCATTTTCTCTAAAGATGAGGGGTAATACAGAGGACACACACACACACACACACACACACACACTTTGAAACACAAGAAGGGATGCTCTTTCATCCATGTTTACATCGGTATGAGATGGCAGCCCAGACACACACACACACACACACGCACACACGTAGAAATACAAAAGAAAGCTGCCTTTTCCCTTCACCAGGTGATTTGTAAGTTTACCTGATGGGACTCTATTGGTTAAGATTAAATCATAGTACCTCAGCTGGTCTGAGATCAGACCCCCACTGTGTTCTGACTTATCTCACCCTTTTAACTGATAACAGGAAAACATGAGGTGGCTGCCAGTTCACTGTCCTTTTAAATATGCAGAAACATTGTTCGGGCTGGGGGGGGGGGGCTGCTGTTGTACAAATACACTGTCACACATTCAGAGCTGGAACATGCACACTCTTTTGCATGCTTCAATATTAGATGCATAGCTGTAAACATGTACAGTCAACAGTTACAACAGTCCAGTTTACAATTTGAAGCACATACGCACACTCTTCAACACACACACATATGGAGCTCACTCCTACTATGTAGAATCAGTCTTCAGAATTAGACCATCATACCAGCCAAACTTTTGTTTTTGAGATGGTGGGTTGTCAAGTAAGACCCTAATAAACACACCATTTGATGGGATATTCAATAATTGAATACAGTACAATTTTAAATAAAGATCAGGTCTCAGGGGGAAGAGCAGGTCATCCACTAATCAGAAGGTCGGTGGTTCGATCCCCGGCTCTTCCAGGCCGCGCATCGAAGCGTCCTTTGGCAAGATACCTAACCACGTGTTCGTCCTCACGGCTGTTTCCTCAGTGTATGGGTGTGATGTATGAATATGTGTGTGAATGGGGGAATGTGGCAAATTTTGAGTGGTCAGTAAGACTAGAAAAACGCTATAGAAGTGCAGTCCATTCCACTGAAAGAGTGTCAGATCACAGACAACACAATAGCTGAGGCGTGGTATGTAAATGTTGGACGCACAACTCTTTGACCTTTAACTAGAATTTTGTTTAAATTCATATCATATTTTATCTTTGTTCACTAAACTGATGACCAGTATGTTTGAGCAGCCGTCTGGTTTTGTTGAACTCTTTTCTGAAATGATCTCAACAAGATGTTCAGGATTGCCATCAGCGTGTGAGCAGCTGCAGTAATTTTACACCTGCTGACTGGCTACAGACCTGAATTGCTGTCATAAATAGAATAGTTTCACAGAAATAGCGAGTTTTCTTTCTTGTAATCCTAATGAGTCCTCGGCGTATGGTAAAAAAAAAATAAAAAATTGCACGTCTTCTTTATGATTAAACCTCTTTGTTGTTTTTTTTCCAGTATTAAAACACATTAAACATATAGAAGATTCACACACATGAAATATAAGATAGGGAGGTGAAGGGAAAAATTAATAATAAATAAACAAAAACACAACATGCACATTCCTCAGTGTATGACACAGGCTATTAGACATCAGCATTACACTTACAGTCATATGATGCATAGAGAAAAGGGATGGGATACGTGAATGTCAGTTGTCTTGGTGATCTCCTCTACCTTTTGTACTCAGACGTGGGCCCAGTAATTGCATGTCTGAAATGAAGACGTGGCGATGGATAAATCCTCTTGCCATTACTGGACATTTATAGTCTGGTAAAGACATGGTATTGTTAGCGCCTGACAGATTGCACTTTTCACTCTGGAGCTGACACAGTGCACTGAGGCGTTTCCAGGCATGTTTTAAGGGTTTAGAAAATGTTGTCAGAAGTGTAAGCCGGTTAAAGTGTCTCGGCCCAGACACAGCTGAAGCTGAACCCCCCTAGCCAGACCCCCACCCCCCCCCACCCCCCTTCTTCGTCTGCCTGAAGAGGCTTTACACTGCAGACTGGAGGTGACTCACAGCCAGCTGAACCCGGCTCGCTGTGCTGACTGACAGCCAGACAGGCACTCAGTCTAATGGTGTATAACTTCATGCTTTCACTGGATCTCCTTCCCCTCTATTCTCGCCCCATCTCTAATTCTGCCTTTCCTTATTGCCTCTATTTCACAAAAATGGCTTTAAACTCACATATGTAAGGAGATGCCAGCCTTCTGTTTGTGTGTGTGTGTGTGTGTGTGTGTGTGTGTGTGTGTGTGTGTGTAAGATAAAGAGAGAGGGAGGGAAAGAGTAGAGCTGATGAACTGAGTATCATCCCGCCAGGAAAAGTAGGGTGTGCGTAAAGGTCAGCGCTCAGCAGCCAACGCTAAAACATTTATTTTACACGCATGACGGATGTTTATGTGCTCTCGGTGTTTGTGTGTGTTGCTTGGCTCGCAATGTTACATTCGCCAAGCACCATTTTACTGAAAATGCGGCAAACAACTTTGTAATGCACCATAGCCCAGCATTCAGGCCTGTAATGGCGTAAATGCCAGCAAATGTAATAAGTGGTTAGACTCTGAAATGATGTCTTGAAAGGTTTGAAAAAACACGATAAAAGCCCAACATCTACAGGTATATAGACACAGATCTGTTTGAGGAAATTATTACAGTATACTTGAATAGTTCTTGACTTACCATTAGATAATGCAGCATTGATAACTCGATCATCGTTATAAAGTCTAGAAGGGTTTGAAATCTTCACATATAATACAAACTGTAGCTTTCACATTAGTTGTCAGTGAGTTTTCCTGCTGCTGACTTATTTTCATTCATATATTTCTACTGAATATGGTTGAATGTCTCTTGTGGTTTTGAAAAAGTTACACATTCTGCACACAATCAGGATGTTTTAGTGAAAGGTACGGTGGCCCTGAGAGCTCAACGCACTGCGGCTCAAGAGAACGCGTGCAAATACACACAGCACAGGGAAATATAGACACACGCGCTGCAAGAAGCACGCACGACAATGTAAGTGTTTCCAGCGGACACAAAGAAAGTGAGGAAAGCTTTGTGACTTTTGAAGTTAAACGCATTGAGCAACAAGTGCGTCCCAGCTGGGTTCATCGTTTTTTTTTTTTTTTTTGCTTTTTTTTATGTGTCCCCTTGGAAACACTTCCGTTGTCGTCCGTGCTACTCACAGCGTGTTTCAGTATTTGGTCGTGCCGTGAGTATTTGCAGCACGTTTTCTGTGCATGGAAAGGTGCCCTGTGGAGCTTTCATAGACAAACAAAAGTTGTGTTTACCTTCAGTGTTACACACCAACACACAGGGGAACAACTCTTAAAAACATTTCCCCATGGCGCTGCTAGTGGTTAAACAAAAAAAAAAATTTAGCTTCAAATGAGAAGTCTAACCTAAAAATCCACCCAGTGTAATGCACCTTGTGGATTCTCCTATATGTCTAAATGTAGACGACGTGATGTCCTGATATTTTCAGTTTGACAGCAGGAAACGTTTTTATCAGTTTTATTTTTGATGCGAGTCCCTGAAGCAGCGATGTCTGCCATTTTCTCCCAATGATGAACAATCATACAGGTAGAAATCCCTGGATCAGAGGCACAGACACTGATTTTCTACACCCACGACAGTCTCAATGTATAACGGGTTTTCTTTCAGTTGAGTTTGCAGCGTTCGCTTTCTCTCCAGTGGAAAAGCTCACTTTCCTCTTGCTACTGTATAACACAGCTGAATGCAGGACGTTCCCAGTCATCCTTCCAGGGCTGTTGAGAACAATTCTAGGGAATGCAGAAATGTAAAAATGTAAAAAAAAAAAAAAAGTAGGTAGGTTCATGTTCAAGTTGCTGCAAATAGAAAATGAATAATAACTCCTCAGACTCCTAAAACATACCGATCATCAAACACTGATGACATTCAACAGTGAACCTGGGGTGGATGTTTTCCTTTCCCTTAATGTTAACATAGCTGGTGTGATTTCTTTTTTTCTTTTTTTTTTGTTGTTGTGTTGTTGTTGTTGCCACGCCTACAACATGATGGCTCTTATAACCACTGTAATCCCGCAAACATGCTGTGACAGGCCTCTGTAGGTGTAATTCAGAGGGGGAGGGGGGAAGCCTGAACAGGAGGATTCAGCACACTTGAGTGCAAACTCCTTCGAGACACCAGTGTATTAATAACAGTGAAATCTTTCCTTTGAACCCAGCCTGATGTTGATATCCTGCCAACTGGGAATAAGCACTCAACTTCACACAACACACAGAGATCCTCTGAAAGTTTCCCACTTTTTGACTTGACTTTAGAGCGTAATGCGTGTAAAACCATAGAAGAAGTCGGCCGAGTATTCAGCTGTGACTTCTGGAAATGAGGTGTCTCATGTCTAATAAATCCAGGAAGATTCTGAGAGGTTGCTCCAAACTTTTTGGTTTGCTTGGAAAATCCATACCTGTGTCAAAGTCACTACAGTGAATACGACTACTGTGTAAAAATGTTCCAAATTTAGATATACTTTATCTTGCATGAATGAATAACAGAATCAAAATGAATTGCAGTAATTGCAGGACACTTAAGAATCACCTGTAATTAATGTTTCCAATGTCCATAGGTTGTTTATGGATAGGTAATAATCTAAAATACACAAAATATTCCAGAAAAACACAAAGAATCTGTGAATTGGAAGAATGATCGTATTAGAAGTTTTCTCTCATCTAATTTCTGTTTGTGTGTTCTGGTTCAGAAGCGGTGAGGGGCATCCCAGTACCCGGTGGGATGAACGGGAGCGGTATGGGAGGGACAGTTCCCACCAGCCTCAGTGGGCAGCAGCTGGCCTCTGCCATCCCCTCACCTACCGCCGGCAAGTCCTGGCGCAGCAAGTCCATGAACCTCAAGCACAGCGCCACCTCGTCCATGCTGGCAAGCCCGACGCACTCGCCCTCCACCACCCCTTCACCCCAGGCCCCGGAAGGACTTCAAACACACGGCAGCGATGGATCAAAAGTTGGGTCGGCTGTCGGCGGTGCACCCCAGAGGTCCATGCTGGAGAAGTTCCGCCTGATTAACCCCAGATCGGCTTCGCGAGCGTCACCGTCTGTGGCCGAGATGGCTCTGCAGGAGGAGGATGACCTGTCAGAGTATGGTGACGATGGATTGACGCCCACAAGCTCAGTGTGCAGCAGTGGCAGTAGCAGTGCTACGGCTAAGCAAATACCTGCCAAGACCTCCGCTTCGTCCCTCGCTGCATCTACCAAGACCTCCTCTTCGTCCCCCTCCTTTTCAAAAGCTTCTGCCAACGGCAGCAGGTCAATGGCCTCGTCCAAAGACAAGGAGGACAAAAGCAAGTCTGGGAAATCTTCTAAGGATAGCTCTCCACCCAAAGAAGAGCGTGAGTCATTTGCGGACTCCACCAAGAAGAACTCCAAAATTGCCAGTCTCATCCCCAAGGGAGGAAAGCCGTCATCTGGGAAGAAAGATGGAGGCACCTCCTCTGCTTCCACTGGCATCCCTAAGCCAGGACTTAAGGCTCCCTCAACATCAACAGCAAAGCCTCAGAATCAGTCCCAGACCCAAAGTCAGGCCGCCTTAAACAGCAGTGGCAACATGCGGGGAGGAGAGGGAGAGAGAGGCAAGCTGACAAAAGGAGGGCAGCAGGGCGGGAGTTTCTACATACAGCGCTCCATTGCTGGCCCAGAGGGAAAACGGACCAGCATGACCTCTTCCACCAGCACCTCAGCCCTGTCTGGGTCCAGTGGGATGCTGGGAGGAGGAGGAGGAGGAGGAGGAGGAGGAAGTGGAGGTGGAGGTGGAGGAGCGCTGGGAGGGAACGGAGTAGTTCAGCTTCCTCAGCAGCAGCAGCACAACCATCCCAATACTGCCACTGTGGCCCCCTTCATGTACAGGTGAGATGTATGTGTGTGTGTTGCACAACCATCCATTTACTTCCATCCCCCACCCACACACTCAATTTCCCCCTAAGAGGTCATATATGTGACCCTTTTTCTCAAAGTCATACCTGCACACCTTCACACACATCATTACAGTCACTCATACACAGCCCATGAAATTCTGGAGTTCTCCCAGTGATCAGCTGGCACTCCCCGCTGTGCATCTTGCTCTTGCCTCCACATCTCTTCACAGTCATTACAGAACAAATTAACATCCACAGCCTGACGCTTGCCAAAGCCTATTATTTAACTGTCTGGGTTTCATCTTTGATGTGAGGATCCAGACATCGGCGGCGTTCAGGAAGCCATCCCTCCGCTCTTCATTCAACCAGTGTTGTTTTGATGCATGCAGCTGCTGCATGCTTCCCTGACGTTTACAGCCATCAGAGGTGCAGTAAGTGGGTAAATCTGCCCAGCAGGGCCGATTTTCTCTTACGACAGCAGAGGTAATCCAGGAGAGAGAAAAAAAAAAAACGGAGGAACCGCCAAAGTCTCCGGGATGCCTTTGTGCTGGGAGAGAAAGAGAGTTAGGAATCCCATTAAACAAGGCTTAATCCTTCACCCCTTCTCTCCCTCTCTCCACTGCCTCCTCCGTTGTGCACAGTCAGCTCTGCCACACTCAGCAGCGCCTCTTCCCAGAGTTAGCGCTACTTTAATCCCACACGTTTAGCAAGTTAAAGCGGCTGCGGGTATGTTTCCTGGGCAGATGGGGAGTGATAGCCAGTTATGAAGAAGGGAACCAAAATTGAAAAAACACAGAAAGCCCACACAGTGAGGAAAAAGTAAACACTGAGTGTAGGAAGAAGTGGATCCACTAAAGTAAAACATTCCTTTCCAAATGTTCCTTAGATTGATTAACAAGAAAATACATTAGCTGTTTAGAGACCAGCAATTTTTTGGAAAACTAATTTACCAACGTTACATTCGGCGAGACAAACTGGAAGTTTTTCGATCACTTCAGTACAGGTTGTGGACATTAGAAACAAAATATTAACATCATTAATGATTATGGATACACACTCAGAAGTTTCTCAGTTGATTGCATGATTGGGATGTTAGCAACCCTGTCTCCTTGAAGTTATCTTCATATACTACTAAACTGCTTTCACAGTTATATTGTAGTGGCATCATAATCACTTTATTTTTATTTATTTATTTATTTATTTTATGAAAGAAGTGCTACATTTTCTAACAGCAGTGGGATCTGCAGGAGGTTGTTGGGGTGGATGGAGGGCGTACAAAGCACACAGGGCCGTTTATTCCCCCTGCCATTTTATTCTGAGGATTGTAGGCTACATCATATCAATTAACAGGAGAAGGTAAGACAGCAGACATCACTGAAGATGTAATAAACATCACAATCCTCTACACTGAAGTTACAACAATAATACACTGTGACGAACAAGTTCATCTGTTGATCCAAGACACACCGGGAGAGAGAGAGAGAGAGAGAGAGAGAGAGAGAGAGAGAGAGAGAGAGAGAGAGAGGGGCTAGTGCGAACTGCTAAGCTAAAGTAACTAGCAGATCTGAATAGCATGTGAACAACTATGAACTAGAGAAAGTCGCTAAAAGAAGTGGAGGGCTATTAGAGCTTGAGTCCAGTCAGGCACTTTGCAGCCTGTGCATACAACTGATAAATACTAATATACACTCAATTGTCAGTTTATTAGGAGCATCTGTCTAAAACCGATGTAGTCTGATACAACTGTCCTGCAATAAATCCTCCATGAAGGTTATAATGTTCAGTTTGTAATGAAATTGTTTTAGACAGTTGTTGATTCAACTGTTTAATCATTATGGGGGATGTCGTGGACATAATAATAGAAACACCTGGACGCCACGGCAAGAGTCCTTTGTGTAGCAGTAGTTTTGTGTTGGCACGTTCCAAATATCGGTTTTCAGTCTCCTTGATTACTAATAATCGTTATCGGCCCTGGAAGAACCATATCAAGAACCATATCAGTCGATCCAACTTAAATTTGAAATGTAGCCATCTCAAATGCTGGTGTGATCAGGCCTTTAGATAGTCATCACCACATATTAATGCATTGCTCGACACACTGAACCAAAGATGGTATGTAACCACCGGTTGTGTTTCCAGCTTGTGTTTCTCTTTGAGGTGCCTTACGAGGTTTGAGGTTTCCTTACGTGTCGAGATATTTCCCTGTGAGCATATTTATGTAGCTTCCGTCTTTATCCGCCTCTTTTCTCGCTATAAATGCTCCCCCTCAGCAGCAGGCCTCTCCCGCAGCCGTCAGCATACTGACAGGAATCGTAAAGGCCTCCTGCTGTGCTGCCATTTATCATCGTTTTTTCGGCCCAATTAGGCGTCTTTGTCTTGTTCGGTTTCTCTTTCTCTTACGCCCACTTTAAGCTGTTGTCTCTGCCAAGCTTAACAGACCAGTGTGCTTGTAGGCCTTTGCTGCAGTAAGGGTGCAGGATTGATTTCAAACCCCACACACACACACACACACACACACGGACTGTACCCTCTGTGTCCTCCTCTGCCCCTTGTAACCTAAGCTGACCCAACCAGGTTAGAAAGAGAATCCAGAATAATAAAAATACTGTAGTGATACATACTGTGTATCCTGGGTTAAATACGTTACTCAGAGCTATTAGGTTTTTCTTCGTTTCCCACAAATCACCTGTCGATCAAACAGTGTGGGTGGTACCGTGGCGCCCATCTCCTTAGATTATCTGTTAATGAAACAGCAAATGGAAATGCTTTCACAAAATTGCCACAGTATGAATCACTGTTCATTATGCAACCAGCAGCTGCAGAGCAGAAAGATTAAAAACAGTTACCGGTCCCTTCAAAAGCAGCAGGATCAATTTATAGCAAATATTAACTTGTTATTGCAGCAGTCAGATTTTCCCCACATATCTGTGTTCTTATTTTGGGTCCAAACTGTGATATGCAGCAATGGCTGTGAATATCTCTGTCTCTGTCTCTGTGAATCCTCTGAGGTGAGTGTAGCTCGCAGGAAGGGAAAAAAAAAGAAAAGCTTTTTCACATGAGCTAAAGTCACAGACTGATGCTGCTGTCGCAATTGGAGGCCAATTTTTATCTGCAGCTCTGCAGGTGGTGGCGGCGGTCCCTGGTGTGTGTGTGCACGCGCGCGTGTGTGTGTGTGTACACGTGTGTGTATGTGTATGTTGTCAATGGGAGGGCACGTATTTGTGTCTGTGTTTTTGTTTGCAAGTTTTCCTGTGTGTTTCAGGATTTCCGTGTGCTTGCAGTTAGTGCATGCTTTTCTTCGTGTGTGTGTGTGTGTGTGTGTGTGTGTGTTCCTATGTGAGTGTGCACCTCATTGTGTTTGTAGTGTTTATCTGTCTCTGTGTTTAACCGTGTGTTTGTCTGTTTTTAACTGTTTGTACATGCATGGTTTTGTGTGTGTGTGGGCCTGTGTGATCTCCTGAAGTGTACTGGACTCTATCCTTGTTTCTTCAGATGAGCAAACAAACAGTGCAGCGTGATGCAGCTCAAACTTGAGGGGGAGAGGCTGATGCACACAAAACACATGTTTCATGCTCACTCCTGCACACATACTCAAAAGCACTCAGAGAAAACACCTCATCCGAGACCACTCCCTCCTCTCTTCAGAGGGCTCCATCTGTTGAATATGTTCCCCGACACCAAAAACTGACTCAGAAATTTCAACTCTGTTCTTGCTTAACATTTCAGACACACAGAGTAAAAGCAGAGGAGGAATGATTCTGGCTGTTGGTCTAAATCCGACACTAGAATCTATTAACTAGAATATTTTAACCCTTAATCCCATCACATGCATCTACCTGACTCACTATCAGTACTGTACCATTTTATCCACTGCACAGACCATAATATCTTTATGTGATACTAAATGTTTAATGATTTTAATGATTTAGATACCACACTAAACTTAAACCAAATGGGGCTAATTTAAAGTTGATGAAAATCAAGTGTTTAACCTTGTTAACATCCATATGGTGTTTTTTTAATATAATACAAGAAACATGATGAGAGAAATAATCAGTCAACACCATGACTGAGTGTTTCCGCCTTGACCTGCAGGGAACCAATGATAAAAACAGATTCAGACAATCATCAAAAAGCTGAACTTTGTAAAATTGATTATTCTTATAAAAATAATTGTCTGCGGATTGCCATGCATTTTAAATCTGTGAAATCCAACATACAAGCAGATGCTTATGTTACATCACTGTGTTGCATTGTTTGACGATGAATGAATGCATGCAGCTGGAGCAGCTTTCACCGGCTTCAATAAAAGCTCTACCGGCTGTAGTACCAGCTATTTCAGCCTGTCTATATAACCGCTGTGTGTTCTTTGTGCCTTCAGGACATTCTCAGAAAATGACTGCAGCATGGTGGCCCCAGCCGACCCCTGCCTCAGCCCCACCAAGGGAGAGCTGGTCTACAGCAAGACAGCCAAACAGTGCCTGGAGGAGATATCAGGTACATTAGATGAACACACATGCTGTGTGTTCTGCATAGATAATCTTTCTCCGTGTGGGTGACCGAGTATGCACATGCATCTGTGCATTAACATTTGTCTCTTGTAATATTGGTCCTCCAGGAATTTAACCTTCATCTGCTTTGCAGTATCAGTCTTTATTTAATGTTGACTTTACTGCTGCTGCTGCTGCTGCAATGCTGCTTTAAATGTGAGAGGAATTCAATGAAATTTTCCCTCTTCAGGAAGTGGAAAACACTCAGACTGTTGTTACACTGTATGCTATGTTATGCTATTGTAAAGTGGATTAGCTGCTCTTTGTAATATTAGAGAAAGAGCAGGCTGCAGGGTCTGCTATGGTGTCAGTGGAGGATAGTTAAAGCGTAGCTGCAGGACTAGAGAGTTTTTGAAGGCTACTGTTGTGCAGCTGTGGTGTGAGTGTGTTTCCAGTTGGTGTATATGTGCTGATGTGAGTGTATTTGTGTTTACTGGGGGATCCCTGCCCTGCGCTGGTTTCATGTAGCGAAGGATAAAGGTCAGTGCTGACAGCCGGACACAGGGAGCATCTGTGGCTCTTTGTTTACATGTCTGCGGGCTGCCATCATCATCTCTTACAATCCCCCTTTTTGTGCGTTCTATATACATTCATAATCCTATTCCGATATTACTCTCATATAACACCTACACAACGGAAAAGAGCTGGTTGAATTTAAACCTTATGTTTGTGAAGAGGGAAGACTGCAAATGTCTTCATTGTCCTTTAATTACAGTCAGTGGACATCTGTGCAGCTGGTCAGGAGTTTCTACCCACGAACTTAAAGGATGAGAGGTTAAACCAGGCAACACAGCATCAAAACACAAACCGCTGGCACACACAAATCCTATTGTTTGTCGGATTCTGCCAGCTGCAGATTGAAGACTTCGGTGTCACAGTTCACAGTGCATCTTATTTTACAGGACTGATCCTTGTGTTGAGTCACATCTGTGGTAAATGTGATTGTTTGTTTAACATTGCTAATTATTTTGCTCGTGATTTAGTAACTGAGGATCCCTCCAAAGTTTGGAAAATTATTCAGATTTTACATTTTAGGCTTCAAATAGTGGATATCCTAATTTGGAAAGAAAGTTTCCCTCCTTCTTTTCTCTCAGTAACAGAAATAATTGAGGTCAATCAAACAAACAGCCCAACTCAATGAAGCATGAGACGTCTAGATCAAAGTGAAGCCAGAAAGACTCAAAGACTCCGTGTGCACAAACAACAGCGCGTGATTACAGGTTTTGGGGGATGTCAGGTCATCAGTGACATTCCAGACGTTTTGCTCTGGTCGTGGCTTTTCCCGAGCCCGTCATTTTGAAGGATAAAATTAGACTGCACTGCCGACCATTCCCTTTGTTTGGGGTCCATCTCAAACACTTGCTTTTTTGTTGTCACACGTTTTCATGGTCATTTCACATCCTTCGTTTTTTTTTTTTTTTTCTCTCTCTCTCTCTCCGTAGAGGGGCAGAAATGAGGAAAGTAACGCATGATTAAAGTGCGCTCGTTTTACGTTGAAGGGCTGTGAACCGGTGATAATAGTGAAAATACCCAGACATCAAAGCAGCATGTTTATAAATTCTGATTTTGTGCAAGTATTTTTAAAGAAGTTGTAGTAATCGTCTGTATTTTTATCTTACTATTTGTTCATTTTGACTGATAATAGCAAAAGAAAAATTGGGATGCTGCAGAATTCTACGTAGATAAGTCAATCCGGCAACTGCTTCCAGAGTCTTTCAGCTATTGGTAACCAAGATTTAAAAATGTGTGGAGGAGAGCCGTGACTAATAGCGACAGGGCTAATAACGCCTGCACTGATTGATGGGAATATGTCGGCTGCGGTGTCATTGTTGATCCACGATAAGCCACGGGCTCGCTGTTTTCACTTCTCAAGATAGCATTTAATTAAGTCGGGCGGCCGGCGTGATGCAGCAGAGGCTGCAAGCTCACAGGTACTGTCCAAACAACTCACTGTCACTCTGTGAGGGAGAGACACTGAGAGAGAGAGAGAGAGAGAGAGAGAGAGAGAGAGAGGGTGAGGGATAGTGTAAGGGAGGAAAGATAAGAGGAGGGAACTGCACAGAAAGTGAGAGAATGAGAGGGATTAAGAGAAAGAGAGGGTGATAAACACAGAGAAGGAGGGCTGAGAGAGAGAGGGAGGGAGAGAGAGTACTGCAGGCTGCATGCTGGAGTGAACAGGCAGACGGAGAGCTACATGAGCCCGTTTGCCGGCTTCACCACCCGTTCATTTTCCGCTGCGAGGAGAGAGGGACCGTCAGAGAGTCAGAGGGGAGGCAGGAGGAATGTGGCAGAGAGGTGGTAATTAAAGGAGAGACAGAAGGTGGAGGGAGAGAGATAAGAGTGAACGAAAAGAGACTGTCGTTTAATAAGGCAAGCGATAAAGAGAGTGTGAGCGCAGTCGGGAGAGAGAATGAGAGAGTGTTGGTGAGGAAACGGGAGATGTAGCGGCTCGTTCATCCACGCCCCTGACTGTGGTGAAAGCTAGAGAAAAGGAGCCAAGAAGACAGAGAGACAGCATGAGAACTGGAGAAGGAGTGGAAGGAATAAGTGTTTGTGTGTGGCTCAGTGTCTGACCATGAGTATGGGCTGCCTCAAGGATGGATCTGGATTCTACCTACATGCCTGAGAGGGAGGGTTTCTCTCTGCTCTTCGCCCTGCGCTCGCTCTCCCTCCAACCCTCTGAAGCCTGGACCTCAGTCAGGAGGCGTGGGACGTGGGGACACATCTCTCTGCCTCCTCCGTCCTCCGGTTCCTCCGTCCCTCCATCTGCTCCCTCCGTGACAGCGCAGCCAAGATGTGAAGCGGCGAGCCAGGCACAGGTAGATCCCCTCGCGAGCGTAGTTTCAGCCAGCGAGCCACCGGAGGTACAGAGGTAAGCTGAAATAAAAAAAAAAAAAAAAAGGGAGGGGAGCGGTGAGCAGAGATGAAGAGAGGAGCGGAGTTCTCGGTGTATCAGGGAGGCAGCCCAGCTCGACGGCCTCCCCAGCCTCTCCCTGACAACCTCAACCTGCGGATCAAGCAGCGCTCACTCACTAACCTGACCCTGCTCAGCGATGGCGAGCAGCAAGTTTACTCCTTTGAACTCGATGAGCCGCAGTCTCGTGTTTCCCAACCTCAGAACTCTTCATCGTACTCACCTTCCACGCAGCGGGCAGGAGGCAGCCTGCAGGGAAGCCCTAGGAAGGAGGCTGTCACCAGGGGCGGAGGTGCACGGGGCATCAGAGCTCGATCCCTGTCGCTCTCCCTCACTAAGGTGCTTTCTCAGTCAGAGCATTCCCTCATCCCGGTCCCTTGGCGGAGCACGGCCGCAGGCGGGCGCCCACAGCGGGCGTCGTACAGCGGCCATCCACGGACCGAGCTGCATCGGAAGTCCAGGGAGGAGGCGGGAACGGACGAGGAGGGCAGCAGCGGGCGTTCGGACGAGGAGCCTGCAACGGGCAGGGGCGGCGGGAAGCGGGGAGACAGGGAGAATGACGGGGGTTATTGGGCAGAAGAAGAGGTTTCAGGGGGGGGTCCCCGTGAGGGAACGGCTCAGCTGGATAAGGAGGTGATCCTCACCATGCTGGGTGACCTGGAGCAGGTGCTGCACACAAAACCTCGCCCACGTAAGTCCATTTAGTCTCAGCCGACTCCAGGAAATGAGCATGAATGTGGAATGTGTTTCATACTGTCGACTGAAACCATTTGGGGGATTATATTACTCCAACATTAAAGAAGTGTGACAACGGCACAAATTGGAAACGTTGTACAGGAAGTAAAAGAACTCATGTTCATGTTAAGTGACTAAGTTATGGTTAAAAAAAAAAAAAAAAAAAAAAAGCAAACTCAAGCAGAATATGAGAATGTCGTAGCAGGAAATGCCTTCAATAAGCTGGTTATTTTCTTAATCCGCATGATGGGGAAGCCTATTCCTCAGAGCACACTATTAGCATTTTAAGAGCCTATTTAAGAAAACTGCAAGACCTGGGCTGGGCTGTGCGAGCACACACAACCTCCCTCATGCAATTCCTCCACACACACACACACACACACTGTTGTAAACCCATCCTCACTCACGAGCGGTTTTTTTAAAAACTCATGTACACAGACGAATAAAACCATCTCTCTTGCACACACACATCATGTTTGTCACTCGCAGCGCTCACTCTCACGGTGTGCTAATGAGGCGCTCTGCTCTGTGTGCAGCCTTGTGCAACCCACAGGTACGGCTACGTGCTATACCTCGACAGTAGCTTTAATAACGTCTAGCTTGGGAGAGCTCGCCACGGAGCGTGTTTGATGTAAAATTTCCCAGTGTACGATGCGCTTTGTGCCCGTGGAATGAGCACCCATGCACAAACCTGGCTTTGATGTCAGAGGAAGGGGGAACGTGGGAGGGGTGGGGGTGGGGGGGGTTCGGTTGATAAGACCATTTTTTGCGTAGTTGTGACAGCAGAGGCGATTACTGTGACTCCACAGATAAAGCAAAGTGAAATGCACAGCGCGGCGGGGTGAGCTCAGGCAATGAGCAGATTATTGCTGATTTCCTTTAAGCAGGTTGAAGCATGATGCAGCACAAAAGAGAAATATCATGAGATGTAGACGATAAGAGAGAATCAACACCCTCATCCAACTTTTAATACTTGCACCTCCCGCACAGCCTGTGAATCACACAGCCAACGTGATCAATAGCTTATTATTACACCCTTCATTGTGTGTGTGTGTGTGTGTGTGTGTGTGTGTGCACAAGCCAAGACAATCTAGACCATGTGTGTGCAAACAGGTGATTTTTTTTCTTCTTGTCCCTAACATGCAGTCCAGACCACAAGTGTTTGCACTGGGCTTAAAATGAATTTAACTAATGGATACTCCATTGAAGGTCCAACTCTCAGCGATAATTCGAGTGGGTTTATGTCGATATTGAAAGAACTGCGTGGGAGATAAGGCCCTTTTAACACATAGTGCCCA